CTTGATTGGACAGAGCAGTCTACATACATAATCTAATTGGTAGAGTAATCTCGTCCTATATTTTTTGCTGCATATCTACTAAATAAGATTTAACAAACGCTGACAGGGAATAGGCTGCTAAAGGGAGTCTCGACCAAACACTGTGTTTTAAATGGCCAAACAACCACAATCTCTATTTTTGCATTTCATAAGTAACATGGTAAACGCGTCCTTGGGGAATGAACTGAAAATATTAATTTTGGCTTGACTAGGTTAGTAAGATGACTGCAAAAAGACGTGGCGAGCAGCTCTCCTGAGCCTTGTACTTTTTCGCGTTTCAGATCCATACAAATAACTAGTAGAGATTGCAAGAAGTGTTGGAGACAAGCATTCTTATTTTCAAAAGCTCCTTTGGGACCGAGCTCATAGCATCCTAACCAGAAGTTTGTGCGATTTAACGAACTGATAGAGAGAAGAAATGATGTAAATTAGAGTAAAGAAAAGAGAAAACATAGGGCAAAAATGAAAAGCAACTTTAGAATTAAAGAGAACTAGGTCTGAAAAATGTCTTACGCTCTAGTAACTTCCGATGCGCAATCAACTAGCAATTGAGACAGAAAGGATTCAATTTTTTGATACGCAGGTTTATAAGGATCTTCAGAGACAGTCTGACTGGACGACCATTTGCTTACAGAATCGGCCACTCTTCCAAGGATATCAGCAAACTGGGTAAGCGGGCGAAGGAGTCCGGGAACGTAGCTAGAAGGCTTAGTGGGCATATCTCTATTCATTCGCCGGTATTGACGAGGAATATCGGAGATATGCTTTGAGACGAGAAAGCAATCCGCCTGATAAAGAAAAAAGCGAGAATTAAAAATATACTTAAAATAGCACTTATAAAAGAATAAAAAACAAAAGAAGGTGATTAGCAGAAAAACAACTAAAAATGAGGTGGCTAAAAGCATAACTAAAAAAATACGTTAATAATACCAGTATATTTTAATCGAAGATATGAAGACCAAGATTGCGTGGTCGCAGTCTCCTTTCGTTGTATAAAAGTTGTTTGACCTTGTTTTCGCAACATAGTCGTATTGTAATGAGATGTATTCACCCTATTTCGTGTAAGGTGATGAAGGACTGGTAGTAGAATTTTCCCACTGATATGAGTTGAGCTGACGTTTCCATTAAATTTCACATAGCCTTGCTTTCCCAAAAGTTGTTCTCATCCGGGGTGGACTGCAGTTTCGACCTCGCATTGGCTTATCAACACCCTCATAAGAATTCGAACCGCGACAGTGCAGGACGGTAGCTTGACACGCTAACCACTCGGCTACACTGCCACGAGTA